AATCTAGAAGTGTGTGTGTGTGTGTGTGTGTGTGTGTGTGTGTGTGAATGAGCATTGTGAAAAGCTTGCACTGTGGATCCTTTGGTTACCAATGCAATCTGTGCTTCCTCTTGCTGCACAGCATCCTTGACTTTAAGTTAAAATATTAATGTGAGCTTTTTCTGTAGGACTCTATGAACCCTTTCAAACACCCTTGTGAAACTCTGCAAATTTTAATATTTAAAAGTGCAACAGTGGTGTACTGCAGCTGCCTTGTACTAATGAAGAAGAGTCAGATGTTAAAACTTCAGGAATTACATGAGCCACTTGTGAGACACACCTATAGTTGAAAATTAAATGTACAAAATACTCAAAATCTCATATCTTAATTATTTTACTACATTTTGTTATTTATGGTTTTTAGGTTACTTATTTCTATTGTGTCTGCAGGATGTAATGATCTAACATGGTACTACAGGTCACCTCTTGGCAAATCCACACTTAGTGATGTCCATGTGGGTAGCTAGAAATTTATGAAGTGTTTACATTTGCAACATGGAGATAGGCAAATGCTCAGAATTAGCTTCTTATATGCCTGCTCCATGAACTGGTTGTTAAACACTTATATTCAATCAATGAATGTAAATATTTCTCATTTGTGGTTTTAAAAGTAATCTTTACTAGATAATGCAACTAGAGTGCCATTTCTATTTCATGACATTGTAAGGTAGCTTTTAGCCATTGTGACAGATGTGTTGTTAAATCCATTTCTCACAATTTTAATGTAAGAGGAAATTTCAGAAGACAATGCTTTGAAATCTTTCATAATGACATGACAGGGACATTTCACCTTTTCAGTTTATACTGTTTAATGATTGCCAACAAACCAAGCATCTTATAGTATGTTGTTTATCATTATGCTTAATTATGAACATAAAATGAGTCCATCATACTTTATATTGCCACTTTAAAAGTCTCTTCATTTAAATTTTTTCAGAGTAGGCATTCACAGCTGAGTAATCAAAACAGAATTCCAGTAGACAGTACCTAATGTTTTTTAAATCTAGGTGTATCTTCTTTAATTCAGTCTTATCTACCAAAACTAAGATTCAGAGAGACAGAAATCACTAGTCAGAGTAATGAGAAATTGTCTTCATATTATTCTTCTCAGTCATTTGGTGAAAGAGAAAGGATAAAAAAGAATCAAGACAAGCAACAATCAGAGCAGGAAAAACAATGGCCAGAGAGATATTCTAAATAAACCAGGCTTCTTTTTAAAGAAAGTGCAGCACATCACCTAAGTTGTTGGCTTAGCTGTATATCCCTGATGTAGCCTTCTGGCAGTGCTCAGAAGGCAAGGGACCCAATGATCAGACAGGAATACTCTGGGAGGACCTTCTTCTCCTGCTTAGAGTCCTGCTTCACCTCTGCCCCTCCCTCATCTCAATCCTTTTGGAGAAGAAAACCCAAGTAAACCTAAACTCTCTATTCTGGTTTGCTAATCCATGATAAACTCAACTCACTCTTCCTGTTCATTTTTAAAGCCCAATTTAAATGTCACCTTCGGGGCTGGGGATTTAGCTCAGCGGCAAAGCGCCTGCCTGGCAAGCCCAAGGTCGTGAGTTCAGTTCCTGGTCCTGGAGAAAAACCAAAAAAAATGTCATCTTCACCAGAAAACACCCCCTGACATTCCTAGGCAGATATTCCAGGAGGCCCAGGACATAAACATCTGCATTTTGCAGTTGTAAAAATTACCTCTTTATGCAGCAAGATCTTCTCTTAGACCATGAACTGCTCAAGGGCTCTATTCCATCTCTGTGTTCCTGGAATGCCTTCTCGGCTGGCTCAAAGGGTGCAGTTGTACCTAATTAAATAAAATCAATCTGGTTGCTACATCTGTCTGTTTTCTCTTCATTATTCCCTGGCATAAAATCTGTGTTCCAATCACACTGTCAAAGGTTTTGGAAAGATGCTATTCCTCCTCTTTGAAAATGATATACTCTATCTGGGGTGTCCTCTTCTGGCTTTTTTCCTGATGAACTCCTATTGTGTTTTGAAAGCGAGCTCACACTTTTGCAAGGTTTTTTATCCACTCTACTCTCATGGATATGTGCCTATTATAATTATGGCACTAGCTCATCCTAGAATGTTCTACAAAGGCAATAAACAGTTTGCTTTTAGCTAACATTAATTTCACCCTGAGTCTCCAACAATCAGTACTACCTTTTCCTGTATCCATATACAAGACAAGTTTTTAGCACAACATGTATACTTACATTTTTTACATTACATAAGGAGTATGTTAACACATTATCCCTATAAAGCAAATGAACCCATAATAGATCTGACTGAATTTCATTTAATTATCACTCTCAGTTTGTATATATTTCTGTTTTCCTCAGAGTAACCCTTTTTTGTGATTCCTTCTAGGTGTTTTCACAAATAAATACATGACCTTAAATACATATGTTAGCATTCATTTAAAAAGCGCAGTGTAAGTCATTGTTTTATGTTTAATGGTACCATGTTGAATTGTCACTCTGCATCTCATATTTATTCAATAATTTTTCTTGAAATCTTTCTATATTTGGACAGATTGGTAACTATCAGTCAGGTTCACAGCAAGACATGTTAAGCAGAAATCTGAAAACACCTAAAAAATTTTAGGAAGGGCTAGTGGTGTCGCCCATAAACTAGCCTGGTCTCGGCTTACTCTAAGTTGTTTTTCAGCCTCAGGAAGCGAGAGAACAAACAGTAGAGACTACTGCAGAAACACCGCGTCTTAAGGACTTTTTACTGGCCAGTCCAAAAGTGACCTCATTTGTGCTTTGGAAGGCCCGTGACTCTCTTCTCCCTTCTCAGTTCCATCTAAGTAGAAAAATGTAATCTGTACCCAGAACCCCCAGGAGCTGTGGAGATGCAGCTTTTACCTATTCAATCTGTTGCATAAAAAGAGGACTTAGAATGAGGATGCACGAGGCTGCTCGCTCCCTATGTCTCCTACAACCTCATTCCTTTTAACACCTGTGTAACACTCCATACATAGATAAACCATAGTTTATTTAACAATTCTCATATGCATAATTTGTTTCTATTTTTTGCTATTGCAATTTTGTAATAAAAATCATAGTATATCTTTGTTTGAGTACATGTGCTAGGATGAATACTTAGACATGAAACTGGTTGGGTATAAGGCAGATAGTTTTTAAAGTAATCACTGTCAAGCTGTCCTCTAAAGCTGTTATTTCAATTGTAACTCCAGCCATCAATATATAATGTCCATTTCTCCATATTTTCACCAAATCTTGAAATAGTAAATATTTTTAACTTCTAAAACCTTTTAGTAAAACTACATGATTGTTTTACTTTAAATTTTTTATAATTACTAGTAATAAGGTTAATCACTTTACTTAGTGTCATCTGGATTCTAAGCACTGTGATGAGCATATCAAAAACAAAAATACAATACTGGACTTGTCTTCAAATTCAAACAGCTTGCACTGGGGTGATAGGACATCTCATGCACAGGACAAATTTAAATAGAAATGAAAATCACAGCAGATGACTAAACTCCAAATGAGTACTGATGACAGTAAATGATTACAGGTCAGAGATCTAAAAAAAAAAAATCAAAGAAGGTAAAGCTTTATAAGGAAGTCTTCATGAAAGAATTGGCAACTAACTACGATTGTGAAGGCTGAATAAACAGCTTAAGGCAGAAATGATGCTCATGGGAGTGTAAGAGGACATGAATAAAGTTATGAGAGTAGGAAGCACTTGCTTTTCAAGAAAGGTGACCTTGAGAAATTTCTCAAGTCATCAAGTTTTAGGTAAAATCATTGTTAAGATAACACCGTGTTCTGGAATTTGGGCAAACTCTTGATTTACATGAAACAGCCTTCCAGGTATGATCCTTTTCTTCCACATTTTCACCTACGACAAAGTGGGCCAGGCATTGGAATAGAGGCCGGGCCCTTCTGTTATACCATACTCCTATGAAACAAGGTGGATAAGGAGAGACGACGTTACAATAGGCTTGGAATAGCAAGGAAAGAGGTTTGTACTTCATCCAGAAGCAGCCAAGAGTTTTAAAATTTCTTTAAAATAGAGAAATGGCATAGATGTGTGCTTTAGGGGGATGAATCACACCAGTTACTATCAACATTCAGGTCTCTGCTTAAAGCCTCCTCCTCAGTACGGAGAGCCACCCCTCCCAACTCACTATGTTCTCCAAAATCACCCTACTTCATTTTCCTCATAGCTTGTATAATTAGCTTGCATTAAATTCTGTGTTCACTATTTTGTTAATATTTGTCTGTCTTTCCCACTGGAGTGCAAGTCCATGATGGCAGGAACTTTTAATACACCTATTGTTCAATTCCCAGTATGAGGAGCAATGCGTAGCCCCAGAAAGTAGAGGATGAATATTTATCAAATGCATGAATGAATGAATGGAAAGTTTGCTTAAATACGCTATGAACAACGGCCAAGAATCTGGATGTATGTATTCCAAACATCAACATGGTTTCCTGAGCTTTCATTTTCTGATGAATTTGGTGTTTCACTCAAAAACCTAATCGGTGCTCATTTAGTAAAACAGCTCCCTGCTAGTTAACCAGTTCCTTTTCCTGTAAAGATTTAACAAAATAGAACTGTTTCATAATTGAGAAACTTCTTTTTCTTCTGTAAATCCCTTTCTACAAAAATGTGCAGCTAGCCCCAGTGAAATTATTTTACACTGAGCCTGTTTTGAATGAGTACTGACAAAAAGTTATTTATTCCAAACAGGGGAACTGAAGTCGTTTTTCAGAGACTGCACTTGTGGGGAGAGCCGGTTTCGCTGAGGAGGAACTCGAACCATGCAAACCCACAGAGCACCTGAGTCAGCCCCTGACTCACCTATCCCTGGTGGTTTTCTTGGGTGGGTCTCTCAGATGACCAATCTAAGTAATATCCATTGTTTTTCTTCGAAGTTTCCGACTGAGAGAATTTTCATTTCTTCTTTTAAACCACGGATCCACAGCTGTCATCAACTTGCTAAACAAGTTTCCTCTTAATTACTTTCTGTTACTTCACCCAGCCCTTAAAATCTCAATTATCCTTATGGTTAGCGCATTCACCTGAGAACCTCTGGTCAGGACGAATGGCGTGCAGAAGTTTCCTGTATCTTTGTTAACAGCAGCGACCAGCCCATCAGCACATCATGTATAGGTAAGTGGAAATCTGCTCGTTTAAAATTCTGACATAAATGGAGTGAACAGTTTCCCCAGCATGACTCCCACTGAATTTAGGCAGGAAATGTTCAGTTTTCCCACAGAATCTTGGATTTTCTGCCTGGAGACAACCTTGTCACAAACATGTCTTGTTTTGTTTTTACAAACGTGTATTTGTGTGCAGAATCTAAAGTTTTAAATAATTATTTGGGGAATGCTGCAGAAAAGTTTCATGAGGTTTAGTATCCTGTGAATAAAAAGTGGTGTGAATCTGGGACTGTCATGAGCTGGTGAGGAGGTAGAAAAGGAAACAGTTTCTTCTCAGAAATCAAATGTAAATTGCTGGTAGTGATAGTCAGTATGACGTCCTTGTTTTGTGCAACATCTCATGTTTTCTGCAGAGCTTTTATGAGTTTCACAGTACTGCTGCTGTATAAATGGTCTCTACAGAGTCATGAAAATCCATATATTTTTATGTATTAAATGTTCATGAGCCAGAATACTATGATTATGTATGGACATGTGCTATCTCTTTTATGGTTGTCTAGGTAGATTATTATGACAAAATTTTAGGAAGATACTTTCAGTTTGCAAGAAATTCTCAAAATATGGAAAACTTTAATCCAAATGAACTGAATCTAATCTTAAAATATTTACTATTCACATAAATGTACAACTGACATAAATATTGGTCTAAAATGTATATTATTAAATATATGTATGGGTTGAATAGCTGAGCCTTCATTTATAAAAGCAAATAATATATATGTACATATTCACAATATCAGTATTCATCTAAATTATGATTAGAAAAGATATACTCACTAATAGAATATATTAATATCATTTTTTCTTCAATTCAAATAAATATTATTGTATGATTTTTTATTCAAGATGTTATTTCATTCATATCCCTGATGTTTTCTTATTTCATTTGTCAATAAAAAAGTAATAAAAAACACATAAAAGTAGAAAATAAAAGCCTCCTTTTATAACCTCCTTCTTTACTTTCACCATTTTATACTTGCATGATGTCATAAACTTGAAAGATTTCAAAAGATTAAGACTTCATTTTCATGAACTTCCTGTTCCTTTGGACAGATTTGAGTGCTTGTTCTGTGATTGTCTTCTCAGAAAGAGGCATTAATCCAATTACACAGCTGACCATATAGGGATTTGGAAGTATGGCTGATTCTGTGGGTGTGTTTGAGACCCTACTGAACTTTGTGGTTGCACGAGGGTGCTTGAATCATGACTAGTTTAGAAGAAAATGAATACTGGAATGGAAAGTAAAGCCTCCAAACCAAATTTTATAAATTTTGAATTTTTTCTTAGACCTATATTATCAAATGAGAAAAACTCAGAAGAAAGCTATGTTTTCGATCCTTGCTGAAGTAATTGAGAAGTTCAAGTCTAGGAGTTTTTATAACAAGATATAAGTTATATTCAGTGCCCTCCTAGTAATTTTTTATGTGATTTTCAGAAAAATTTATATACAAATTACCAGAAATTGGCTAATAGCAGAGTTTCTACTTCAGAAGTATCTGCTGTTTCTTGTAACTATTTGCTCTCTGTCATGGTTTGTAGAACTTTAGGTTATGAGTCAAAGGCCAGAAAATCATCTGAGCTGTGTGCTAAGAAATAATCAGTTTAGATGAATTCTAAAATGTCATCTTTGACTGTATTTTTTAAAATCTAGATTTTTTTCTGTCTTTATAAGAATATGTTCTGAAAGACCTCTTTTGAATTAGAACTTTAAAAATAAAACTAGTCAAACAAAAAAGTATAAATATATCCCCAACTAAGAAAGAGATAATTAGAAAAACAAGTAAATAGTAAAATTCAGCTCAGCCGCATGGAGCCTGCCTGGTAAGCACAAGGTCCTGAGTTCAATTCCTAGTACCAAAAACAAAAAACAAAAACAAAAACAAAAACAAATTTAGGGGAAAAGGAAGTGAAGAAAGGGTGTGGTGTACCATGCGGTGAGCAAGGCTTTTTTGGTGAAGCAGAATGCTTATTCAATGAGGTGGTGACGCAGGACTCAGAGATCAATATTTTGAATTTGACAGTGAACAAGCAGAAACTTGTGATATAAAGAGTTGTAAGATCGGGAGACATCCAGCAGTGAGAATGCAAAACTGAGAAAGCATATAAAATTTTAGTCACCGTTAGATTAGAAATAACATTGTTAGTCTTGGAAGGCAAACATTAATTTTACACAATATTTTACATAAGAAACACACTAGTACACTGATCCACTTTCACAGGCTTCATTCTCCCGTGTTGGAGAAGACACATAAGTTTATATCCACAGCTCGGATTGCTCAGATGACTGCCAATCGGACAGTCTCAACAGTGCACTGGAAATTTAAGCGCCCTTCAATTTCAAGATATAAAATTTTACAATTTTTCCCCCAAACTATCTCATTTTAATTTCCCTATTCTTATGGGAAAATCTATGTCATCTTCACCATGGTCCCAGTCTTTAGGAGTAGGGTTAATTATCAAGTTCTGGCAAATATTCTAGCCTTGTGAAGTTCCTCAAAGTCCTGCTTCCTTCTCATTTACTGTATCATCACTCCAGTCCTTTGGATTATAATTGTGTCTTTCCTCACTGGTCTTCTCTTTTCATTTTCTCCCTCTCTTCCAAATGTGATCATGCACACGCAGGCAGATTCATTCCTAAGCACTACGCCCTCATGTTGGTCATTTCCACAGGATGAAGACAAAACTCTCTTGACTAAGTGTGAAAGCTTTACATTATCTGGATTCCTGTGCTCTAGTTTCTCTCCAAAATGGAGCTGTCCTTCACTGCCTTTGTCGTCCTTCATTCGTGTGTGTAACAAATATTACCTATGATGTTAGGAAACGTCCTATATCCTGAACACTAAACAAGATACAGACCACATCATGCTGGTGGCTAGACATGAAAAACTGACATATACAATTTTTCAAAATTCTAAATATAGGCTCATAATGGAGCTGGTGAAAGAGGACCTCAATGAAGACGAGACAACAAAGTGAAATGACAAAGTTTAGTGGCAACTCAGTGGGCAGACCTAAGGTGTGCACATCCGGCACAAGGAACAGGGCATGTAAAGACATGGAGGTCTGAAGGAGTCTGGCGGGTTCGTGGGAACGCAATTAATTTGAGATGATCAGAACACAAACTGTTCAAGAATGAGGGGGGGGGTTGTGGCACAAAGCAGAGGCACAGGCAGTTTCCTTGCACAAATGTGAGGGAAAGCTAGACTGTGGAGGTGCGCACAAGAAGTTCCCACCTGTGACGGTGGAGTGATGAGCATTCTTCTCTAATGCTTTCTACTTCCTTAGTGGAATAAAAATGGTATCAGATAAGAGTGAAGATAGGCGAGATGGTGGTGAAAGTTTGAGAAACATATAAGCGATTGTTTTTCTACAAGAACTATAAAAATAGAAGACAGATTTAAAAAAAAATCTTGTTCTTCTGAAAGCATCAGCCCATCTTATCTTTACCTTTGACACACCGCCCCCAGTTGCTACTTTTAATCTGAAAAATCTGGAAACATGCCTTGACAGTTAAATTTTGAAGTGCAAATTCGTAGGCTCTTTCAAGAATTCAAGTTCAGTAGATCTGGAGTAACAGCTTACTCTGTACGCTTAATAGGCACCCTGAGAAAATTCTGGTTCAGGTCACTCTCCAATCACACTTGAAGAAACCCAAATATGGAAGCCAAAATCCCAACGTGTTCATGTGGCATCAAGGGTCATTCCTGTTGCGAACTCTATCACTCAGTCAGGGATGCCCAGAAAAGAAGAGCCACTAGGAGATGATGACAGAGAATGAAGCAGATAGAGACATAAACCTATATGACCATATAGACTTAAATTTATCTATAAACGTAGAAACAGCTGGCAGCTGGAAACTTAGGCAGGATTCAATGTGATGATCTTGAGTCACAATTTCTCCTCCCCAAATATCAGTGTTTGCTGGGAAAGCCTTCCACTGCTTGGAGGAGGCTCAGCCACACTTTCAGAGGTGATCTCCAGTCAGCTGACTGCAATCCAATCACAGCTACGGAAACTGATCACAACATCTAGATTGATGTTTGACCAAACAGCTGAAAACTGGAGTCCCGCTAACGCTGACACATCATGTAAAGCATCAAGCTGTCCAATTTCACCTTTGGTGGATTTATCACCTGCAGTTTGTTATAGAAAACAAATGAATTGCTGATAATTCTTACAGCACTGCACACGGTTCCTTTTTTCCAGATTGTGTTCCATTCCTCTTTGACATCCTTACAGATCCTTATAACCACCAGAGCCAAGGCTGAAACAACTCTTACCTATGGGAAACAGTGAAAAGATGCAGTTTACTGTAGGTGCATCACTTTTCTGTAAAGATTCCTTGGGCCCACAGGAATAAGCTAGTGAAATGCACGAACAGTGCCCTAACCCATGCAGCACTCCATATTAGTGTGTTTTATTTGTACATAAGCCCATAGTAAATAATATAGGGTCATGTTCATACTTTAAAGATCATGATGGCCTTAGGTATAAAGAATTTCTAAGGCATTTCTCCCCACTCCTTGGAGCTGGTGAGCTCTTCATTTATTGATATTAACTCTGTTGATGTCCACTGACCTCAGGAGGAATTGCTCAAAGTACAGATAATTTGTCATGAAACTGCATGCTCTGGAAAAATGATCCCGTAGTCTAAACATGGACTAAATTTCAAAACACAGGTTCAGTCATGAGCTGTGAGGACAGAACTCTTTTCCCCATCCTCCCTTTTTTCTCTCTTCCTCCTGTTCTCTTTCTTGCTCCCGCCCTTTCTATACCTTTTGCTATTACTGTGCCTAATTAGGGAGATTTTAGGGGATGAGGAAGAAGAAAGTAATGCAGACTTGAAAAGATTGTAGTTTTTCTGACATATTTTCATATCCATACTTTATATTGGCAGACCAGTCACAGCTTCCCGCACATCTCTGCCGCTGTGGATAATTGCCCTCATTGTGTTTGGAGTGTTGGCGATTCTTGGAATCACTATTGGCCTCCTGGTTCATTTTCTGGCCGTAGGTCGGTATATATGTATATACATATGTATGCATTTATATCATTTTGTTGTAATCTTTATTTCCATTTCCATGAATGATAAATAAGCAACTGCAAACAATGAATCATCTCCCTCTAACCAATGACATCAGTGATCCTGGGGCCTAAAAATAAGCATTTTGACATTTGCCTAATACACAATTTCAGGTATCTTTCAAACAAGTTAAAGTGGGTATCCATTCAGATATGTGATTGAATACATATATAGCTAACTGGCAGAAAAGATATCTTTACAAAGATGAATATGGTCCTTCACACATATTATTTTGTAATTAAGATGTCACACTCACTCTATTTGAAAAAGACAAATCCAGGAATATTAAATTATAATTTTTTCTTCATAACAAAGACATTAATATAAAAATTCTTCCTACATATCTTTAAAAACTTTTTAAAAGCTTTAAGAAACTTGGAGTCATTTTTAAAAATAGTTCATTTTAACTTTGGAAATTATATCTCTTACATGCTATGATAAAATTTAAAAGTCAGCATAATTGTATTTTTCACACTTTCTGTTAGCTTGTTAGCAATGCATTCTACAAAGTCACTGTCTTAAAAATTCATTATAGCTTACAATAAAAATTACTATAGTTGTTTAAATTTTAGTATGTATTTAGATGAGGTATATGCTCACCATCAGTATTTTTTGCATGTCTTTGACATACCTGACTGCTGTTTATTTTTTTCTCTAAAGCTCATACTCATAGTTTAAAGTGTCCGTCAAGTTTTAATGAGTAATTCAGCCCCTCCTGCGTAGACTCTTATCTTTTATTTGTCAGAAAAGAACACTTCCAGCTCTTTCAGGTCATTCTAATGTTGCTATGTCCCTAATTATTTTTATTTATTTGCATTATCTGTTCACTTTCTACTATGGAAAAATGGGAATTTCATATTCATTCATACCCTGGCCACAGAGTGGTCATCTTAGGATTTCTCTCAGCAGTGTCATGGGGATCACCTTCAGCTATCCGTTGAACTTAATCTCCTAATGGTTGCTTTTTCTACTTCCTTTTTATTATTTCATTCACTCAGTTGGAGTGTGTGTGTGTGTGTGTGTGTGTGTGTGTGTGTGTGTGTTTTCTTTGGACAATGGCTTTTACCATAGTTGCCCTACTTATGCTGTTTTGTTGAGAGAATCCAAATTACCAGTATACTGGGGGCTGGGGATTTAGCTCAGCAGCACAGCACCTGCCTGGCAAGTGCAAGGTCATGAGTTTGATTCCCGGTACCGGGAAAAAAACAACAACAACAAAAAACCACAAATTACCAGTATATTTAGGTCTTTGTGTTGAATTGGTCAGGATTCCCAGACAAAGGCAAGCCTTCTCATCTTTTGTATATATATAATAGTCACTTCTAGCTTTCTGTAGACAACTTAGGAGCTCAGTATATACATTTTGCGTACAGTACACCCAACTTTAACCATGTCTCAGTCTCCTTGAGCTAAAAACCTTAAACGCTGGGATCTAGCTGTTTTAACCAATCTTCCTGCATTTCCACCCCCTACTTCTGGAACTGTTTATTGCTATTTAGGATTCTTTGGTTTGAAACAGCACTTACATTTCCCATTGCTCTAGTGAGGTTCACGTTCCTTGTCTCTTACCTGCCTCCAGCTTCCATGCAACTGTAGTCTCTTCTTCCCTTGTTACTGTCTTTGTAGTTTGACTTTGAAACAAAACCCAAGCACTTTTCCTGTCACTTTTCAGGGGATTTTGGAAAAATCACCATTAGATAAAGTATTAGTTAAATCTATCATCTTTAACCAAATATTCTTGATAGCTGAGTTTAATGCTTAATCTCCAGGATAGTTATGTATCTTCTTGAAGTCATTCTTTTAAGGTTTTAAGCTGCTGGAATTCCTCACAATTTATATATATATATATATATATATATATATATATATATATATATAAAATAACTAATCAAAATTTTCCTACATTATCTTTTCTTAGATTTTACTCCATTATCTTTTGTCCATTTAGTGTCAGAGGGAAGATCTTGAACATGTCCATTTTGTAAATGGAAATTATTTTGTCCTTATTTTTTCTACCTGAATAATAATAGACTCTTTTATCCTTTGGATTCACCAAGCCAAGTTTGTCCTAATGTGTTTGTCCTTAAATTTTTCACAAAACACAATAGGCCATTTCAAGCTGCATGTTCAAATCTATTTATTCAGTTATTTTTTTCAAGAGCATCAGTCATGTATTTGTTAAATATCCTTTGTTTTTGAATCATTCATTCTTCAATAATAATTTAAATTTTCCTTTTCCATTTCATTTTGCTTGTTTTACTCAAGCCTGTCCTGTATGCCAGATAGATGATAGATAGATAGATAGATAGATAGATAGATAGATAGATAGATAGAATTTCCAATGTGGCTTTTGCCTATGACTTCCATTCTTTAGTGAGTTCTGCAGTTTACTATTCTTCTTCACTGAACTATTTTATATTGTTGAATTCTTTTGTCTACAATATCCTCAAGACCTTGGGAGGTAGTTATTAAAACTCATTCTTTATTCCATTGACAATGCGTGATCTTTTTTTTATGTCCTTTCCTCCTTTTAGCAGTAACATCTATATACAAGCTCCTTCCTGGAACCTTTGTAATGATGAGTCACCTTCTCTGATTTGGGACAGGAGTTTTGAAAGAATCCTGTGGGAAGTAGGTCTGGAGATGGGTTGTAGACTTGGGGAGTTTGCTGCTTGTGTATAGTCTCTTGTTCCAACCATTCTCTTATCACCTGCTCAATTTTGTTTTTGAACTTAGGTGTTTATCACCAATTTTTAACACAGAGGAAGCTGAGGTCCCTTGAGGAAAGTGCTGTAATTCGCAGGCTCTAGTGCCTCTTCACCTCCCCACCTTTTTAACCCAAACCAGTTGCCTTAGCTGGAAGAGTGTATCACACTCAATAAAAACAGCACATTAGTCTGGTTTTATTTCTGGCATTCTGCATCATGAATATAGGTCCTTACATCAATATTTCTTAGCTTTTCCTTCAGAAGCTGAAGTCTCATTTTAATTTTGTAGGACTTTTAGAAAAATCTGTGTCTAGCTCCACTTACGAGATGCATCTTTAATGTACATAATTTCTCATTTTAGTATATATTCCATAATTTTTTGGGCATGTTTGTATCATCAGTTTTGGTTCAAAGGTGTGGTTGTTTTCTTTAGTTTCCTTGCAATTAAGCCTGTTATTTTTGTCTTTTCTTCTTTTTCTGGGCTTTGAGGTAGGAGAATGCAGAAAGAAAGTTTCTTATTCCACCAACCTTAAACAGAAGTCTCATATGAATTTAATCTTAAATCCTGACACTGCATCTAGAGCATCCTTAGGACAAAACCTTTACATGAATGCTTCAAGTTTTTTTTCAGAAATAAGTGGTACTCAAGTAATGAAAAGCTATGCAGTGGTTTCCTTCTTTCCGTCTCGTCATCTACAGTCCCCGATTCACAGCGGCATTTGAGTTAAAGGATGTGAATGTTGTTCATGTGGTGCAACTCTGCCGTGTGGGCCTGTCATCCCTGAGGGTCACTGCCACCCATCTGGTACCAACTGAGCATAACATCTGCATTCACAGCGCACTCAGCACAGTTGATGGACAGTCCCAGCATCTCATTTCGCAGATACGCAGAAGTTGATTTCCTTGTTCTACTACATGGTTTCTTAGCCTTGACTGTGTTAGCTATTAAATATTCTAATTATCCACTGATTCTGGGAAAAGTGTGACACACTGTATTGTAATAAAACAAATCCACATATTACCAATTTTTTTAATTTTTGTCTTTTTGAGACAAGGTCTCTCTATGCAGTTCAGGCTGGCCTTGAGCTCACTTTGTAGCCCAAGCTTGTCACGAGCTCACAACGATCCTCCTGCCTCAGCCTTCCAAGTGCTGGGATTACAGGAGTGTGCCACCATACCCAGCCTGTTACTAATTTATTAATTTAATTTACAGAATAGTCATGGCTGCTAAATGTTGTAGACAGAAATATTTAGAAATCCAAATGAAGTCTTGAAAGACACACTGTGAATATTTAGTTTTGTAAAAGAGATTGAGGAGTTTTAAGGTCTTTTTTCTATTGCTTATGGTATTATAACTTCATAAATTACAATTGTAAAGTTGGGTCTCTTTAGTGAAAAATAAATGACCCATGGATTGGCTAAGTGCAATCAACAATATTTACTTATAAATCACACATAGTCAATCCATTTTCAGCATTTTGAGACTTCCTATCTTTTTCTATCATTTTTAGCACTGTAAAACATTTAACATTTATGTCATACACTCTAGTAACATCACCAGACTAGTCACCCCCTCTCGCACACACAGATCCTCACCTCCACGCTCAGCTCATGCCTGGCAAACACCCATCTATCTCTCCTGGGCCCTCCCCAGGAAGGCACCTCTGCCTCTGCCCTCCAGGCTACCTCTGCACTGTGTAAATGCTTCTCTCAGGGGCCTTATCACACCATGTCTTACTTGTTTACATATTTTGTTTTCACTGTGGTTTTCCCCTTCTCTTAATCCATATATACCTTGCAGGTGAAAACTGAAGTTCATCACTGAATCCGATCCCTATTAGTCCTCATGTGTTGATTTCCTGTGCAATGAACCTGCCTCTTCCACAAGATGATACTCCAGGGCGGCTGCCTCAGAAAGGAACACTTACTTAGTTCTTGCTATGCTTGTACACAGTACCTAGCAGATTCCTAGTTGTTACATACATGGACTATATCACAGATCAGAGATATGATGTATATCAAGTAGCCTAGTATCTCTGAATTTTAGGAAAGAAATTTAATGAATTAGCTGTGGGTTTGGGTGTCAAGACACAGACTGAGTTTTGATTCTTGGCTCTTGTTAATAAGCATACAAAATTAGGCAAGTTAATTTATATTTCACCTGAAAATGCATACTTCATTATGTCTTTCTAAAATATCTTCATGTGGTTACTATATTACAGTAGGTAATGATAACTATTTTAATTCATAATCAGGCAATTGACTAGTGTAAACAGAAATCTCATTATAGTATACATTCTTTTCTGTCTCAGTCATGATGTTACTCTTCTTCATGACCTTTGTCTGATGTGTGTGCATGTGTGTGTGTCTATTCCAGTATTGTGGCTACAACCACTTTCCACAGTGGTTGTGTTATATAATCAACCCTAACAGAAAGATTCACATGGGTTTGTGAATATCTACTGAGTATAATGTCTATCAGTTGGTATTGTTATGTGATCTATACTTAGATTTGAAGTCCTGTAATTTAATTCTTGGATCATTTCTTTATCTCACAGAAAATAGAACTAACTATTATCAAGGAAGCTTTCAAGTGCTAGATATCCCATATAATAAAAATTATGAAAGGGAGACATCCCAAGAAAATAACTACCTTAGTAAAATCCTTGAAACTAAGGTAAGTTAGTATTATCCTACATTTGATTGTTAATTATTTAAAATATAAATATATATTCTATATAGTACAATTTCATGTTTGACCCTGTGTTTTCCTTCTACAGATGGTTGATGCATTTGAAAGCTCTGACATTTACAGACAATATATCAATTCCCAAGTCATCACACTGGTGTAAGTAACTAACACTCAGCAACAGAAGAGGCCAAACCATGAGACACACTGATAGCCTTCAAGTTTCTTGGTTAAAAATGTCCACTGAAAGCTTATAGTCACTAGACAATAAGTTACTAATTCCAACACTATCATAAATGTAAGATCTATGGCAAGCGCAAGGTCGTGAGTATGATTCCTGGTACCGGAAGAAAAACAAAAACAAAAACAAAAACAAAAAAAATGTAAGATCTATCGTTCAGTAAAGCCAAAGCAGACCTTAGGCCAATATTATTGAGTTCATTACATCTGTAATATATTTATATTCAATTTACAGGTGACTTATGCTTCTAATTTCCTAAATATTTATGTTCAGAAAACTTTAGTCTCTTAGACAAATATCTGCTACTCTACTATTTTTGTTTCTCCCTAGCATAAAATGGGCCTTGTTTTCTCCCATCTCTCTACTTGTAAGTCAGTTAAAGCTCTAGAGGAGCTGTCCCTAAGGTTCTTCTTAGATACAGTATTGAAGGCAACATATCCCTATCCAAGCTTTGATACCAAGGAAACTTCCCAGTGGCCATAAAAATGTCTAGTCTCCAAATAGGGAGAGAGGTTTCCAAGAATTAAATAACTACATTGTGTTCCCTTCACATGGGTTTGGAATAGTAAAGAAAACCAAGAGGGATCCCTACAGAAGAAGTTAGATAATCTGAACCCAGCTTTTAGCCATTGAGTAGCCCTAGAGTCTTGGGTGAGTGACTGTATCACTTTGGGTCTGTTCTTCTATCCTGTGAGATGTAATGATAACACTTGTCATGCCTTACTTATATAACCATCCTCAGAATCAGAAAGCAAATGTGTGTGGAAATACTTACAGATCAATATACTATCATGAAGGTGATTATTGGTTTTCTTATCCTCAATGCCAACAGTGCCTGCCCTTTTTCCCATTCTTGGACTCCTAGGACTCTTGAGATTGCAGAATGGATTATGGTTTCAACCAAAATTAATCGTAGGGGTCAATTTAGTGTTGGACAGAAGTGGAAAACTGAAGTTGAAGGTTCCAGGGACCTCTCAGAGGTGACTGTAGTCACTGGAGAACTGCTCTGATTTGGTTTCTTATGCACATAACTTCAGGTCTCCTCAGTTCTGTAGGTCAGGCATGGGAATGGAGAGGCCTCAGGACTGAGGTTTTCACTCTGACATGCGCTGCTACAAAAATCAAATTTATACGAACTAAGTGCTTCAAAGAAACCATTATTGATTCACATGCCAAAATGTTGAGTATCCCCGAGGGAGACTCAGAGCAAAATAATGTCATGTCAGGCTCTAACCTCAAGGCTTCTTGACATTGGGTTGTCCATCCTTTTCTCAGTTTCAGATAATCGTCCCTGAATACCACAGTCAGAACAGTCTTCTGGTCATGGCTATTCCTGCACCTTCTTCCATCTGAGCCCAGTCTCAGATGTCCAGTAAATGCTAATCAATAGTGTTGAAATCTAGTCATTCTGTGGTGCAATTCATTCTCCTCTCTGAAGAAATTTTCTTCTTGATAATGAAGCTGCAATAAAAATAAGTTCTAGCTTGTACACCAGCTCATCCATGAAAAGTTCCCTGATCATTTTAAGTAAAAAAAGACTTACCTTTCCTCTAAATATCTCAGAGAAATATCTTGTTCCTGCCTCATTTCTTATAGTTATTTGCAAAAGTCTGGAAATTTCCACACGGTAGGTACCGTGTCTTTGTTACCCTTGCATTGCCCAATGACTCCTAACCCAGCTGTGTATCAGTAGCTCAGTAAATGTTTGATAAGTGCATGAATAGATGATCCCAGTTCTTAGATGATATCTTTACTCTGTACTTCAGCCTTTCCCTATTTTTTCAGATTTGTAGAATTATTTGTCTTCTAACCTGAATAATATAACCTCATGCATACTATTGCCATATACATGTTGGCAGACTGGGAGCCAGTACATCACCTGGGCCCACTGCACAAGACAGCAGAAGGTATCGGATATGAAAGATCAGGAGATGAAGAAGGAAATGCTGTTTTTAGGGGTGCGTAGAATCTTTATGTCCTTTTCAGTCCTGATGGCAACAGTGTGACAGCACACATATGGCTGGTGTTCAAGGATTCCAGAGCAAGGGCGGAAAACACAAGGAGAAGAATTGAGAGCATCTTACGCCAGATGCTGAGGAGCCAGTCGGGATCCTTGACCACAGATCCCACTTCTCTTAAACTCACGGGTAAGCCTCTGCACCAGATGCGAGCGGTGCTGCAACCCAGCGCAGCACGAACACCAGGCACAAAGCTGAACCTCATCACATTTGAACACGAATGTTATTTCACAGCGGAGCAACTATTTATATTCTTCATTATTAAAAACACATTCAAGTCACAATAATACTATGCCTTATAACCGCTTCTCATTCTAAAGTAAATGTTAATAATTGAAGCAATCCATAGAAGTAATGGTGTGTTTTTGTTTTCTTTTCATGATTTCCTGTAACTTTCAGAAACATGAATATGTAGATCTGCCTTATAAGACATGGCACTTTCTAAAAGTTATTTTTATATACTGAGAGGAATCAGCTCATTTTTGGTGACTTCTCTTTCTTCTAAGGGAAGCAAATCACAATTTTCCACTTTAGACAAGGTGGTGTACAATTCCAATTAAATAAAAAAGAAATCTCTTGCAGAGTTGTGAAGATGGTAGTTCCATGTCACACATACACCTGTAGTAAAAGTTAAATTCCAATAAATCAATCTCTCTGTTCTACTGACTTTTTATCCTGAGATTAAAAATGCTCTCTCTTCCCCCTTGCTCTGTTCTGCTGGCCCTACCAACTTTCTCCATTGCCCTACAATGAATTAGGTATGAAATTTACCACAGGTTTCTCGTTCTATTTCAGAAATCAATAAAGCTGATGCTGAAAAAATTATCAACAGCCGTAAGTTTGAATACTTGTTAAATGAAATATGAAATTATTTATCACTCTTGACTAGGCACAAATTGTAAGTGCTTTTTTGTAAGATAATTCATTCAAACCCCATAACATGTGAGAGATAGTCATGATTATAATCTCATTTCAAAAAAGAGAGGGGTGGGGATATAGCTCAGTGGCACAGCACCTGCCTTGCAAGCACAAGGTCCTGAGTTTGATTACTGCTACAAAAAAAAGGTTAAAAAAAAGTAAAAATGTGAAAAGGCCAGCACAAAAAGGTGAAATGATTGCCTAGATACAGCCAATTTGTAAACCAATATGAGGATCAAAATGCAGGCTCAGGAAATCTGGCTGCAGAGCCCATGGGACTTAATGACTTTGCCTCTGTCCACAGCTTACTCACTATCCAAGGCCTGAAGTATCTCAGGGATGCTCTGCTGGGTAGAGAGAACCCAGGGGCTGCTACTGACTCTAGTACTATTCCTTTCCCTTCCTCTCAGTCACGGTATTGTCAGATTTAAACATAGAAGGACAGCTCAGCTCGCTGTTTACTTTGTAATCGAGTTACCAGTATCTTGAGTGGGGTATGGTGATGCTCACCTATAATCTCAGCACCCTGGGAGACTGAGGCAGGGGAATCCCAAATTCAAACTCCACTGGAGCAATTTAGTGATGTGGGGTAACCCTGTTTCAAAATAAAAACTTTTCTAAAAGGTTTGGGGATGTAGTTTAGTGAACCAGCTTTGAGTTCCATCCCCAGCACTACCACCAATCCGTCAGGTAATCAAATTAAAAAATTATAGTAATAAAATAATAAATAATGAATATTATCTGCATTCTAATGGAACAAAACTGACGCTTTTGTCAGGCTGCGGGAGGCGAGCAAGGATGTCCGCTACGCATGACAGGATCAAGGGAGGCTCCACGGCTCAGGAGGGAGAGTGGCCGTGGCAGGCCAGCCTCAAGATGAACGGCAAGCACTACTGCGGGGCGGTGTTAATCAGCGAGCGCTTCCTGCTGACCGCGGCTCACTGCTTTACAAAGTAAGTTGGTCCTGTTGCAGACTGCTAGGGAGGCAGCCCCCTCCCACCCCGACCCGGTAGCTCCAGTTCTCACCTGTTCGTTACCCCTGCTCCATTCCTAGGTGGCTCTTCTTTCATTCATTCTCAGAAGTGCCCTGGTTTGGAAGACAAGCTACACTGCCTATCTAAGCCTTTCCCACCTTACCAGTAAAAACGGGACGTCTCTATTTTGATACTATATTTTTTCTTAACTGAGTCTTCACTCATCATTTTGTACTCCGAGCCCTAAATTAGGTGCAGTTGCTAAAATACAACCTCCTATTTCACACTCCACCGTCTCTCTTCACATGTCTTCTCTACTTTAGGCAAATGGGACTTTCCTGTCTTCATTGCTATTTTCCCTTAGAAATCTTTCTTTCCCTTAAACATACTGGTTTAATTCCTCCTGTGTGCATCCCCACTAATTACATAGCCAAGCATCGAAGCAATTTTTAAACCGCCACTGTTTAGGCCCATCTTTAATTAGATCTAGTTTCTTAAAGGTCTATGCTATTTATTTATTTTATTTTTATATCCCTAGTGCCTTACAAAGTATCTGGTATAGGGACTCAAACAAGATATTTCAAATGAATTAAAAAATCATATTGTATCATTGCAATGGAATACAGAGAGATGAAATGTTAATGTCATGAAAAGCATGACATAGATGCAGAATTTCTTCTATTTGCTATAGAATGCAGTATTTTGCTATTTTGAAATAAATAAAAGATGCAGGATTTTTGTTTCTTTAGGACAGATGATCCAAAAAGCTTTGTGGTCAGCTTTGGCACAGAGGTAACTCCCCCCTATATGCAACACAATGTGCAACAAATTATTATTCACGAAGGCTACGTCAAAGGTGAACATCACGATGATATTGCGATTATACGGCTCACTGAAAAAGTTGCATTTAAAAATGATGTGCATCGAGTTTGCCTTCCTGAAGCCACACAGATATTCCTGCCTGGTGAAGGAGTTGTTGTTACAGGATGGGGAGCACTTTCCTATAACGGTAGGTCCTGTGAAAACCTATAGTACTTGGCGAGATTCAGAAGCAACAAGAAAAGTTAGCAATCCGGGTGCACAGTCCAAGGCCTTATTTGCCTCTGGCTATTGAGTCTTCTCAGGGGACTTCTTAAGGAATGTTGCGTATGGAGTTAAGACTGCAGATTGCCTTGGTTTGGAACATTCCTAGGAGACCAGTATGGTTATAGAGCCTCTCTTACTAGCAGAAACTAATCAAGAAAATTCTGATCCAAAGGTTTGGTTACCATGCAGTTGTTGAATTCTTCCTTCAGCCCAGAAACAATTACAAAGCAGAGAATAAAAAGAGAACTCATTCCTGGACCCCCATGTTGGATGCCAAATGATGTCAACTCTGGGTGATCGTTTCTTCTCTCCACCCAGAAAAAATTACTGTACAAAGTAGAGAGTCAAAGAGGACTGCACAGAAGTATTTATTGTAGAGTAAAAGCAGAAAGCAGCATCTATTGTGAGGCAAAAGCAAAGCCCCTAGGCACATGGACCTAAGAGAGGGCGGGGCAAATGGTTGCCAAAGAGACTCTTTATCTAGGGGCTTTTGTATACAAAAAGGAGTACATTTTAGCCAAGTTGAGATCAGCTACGGGGTAGAAGCAGGAGAGTGGCTTAGAAATAGGCCTTTAGGAACTTGGGGTAGGTAGCAAGCATACCTGGGCAAGCACCACTAATCATAACTTCAAACAGAGAAAAGCTGCTCTTTGGAGAGGTACGAGTACCTTTTTGGGGGGCATAAGAATCTCACCGATCTAATGATGTCTTTGTTCACCGAGTCTCCAGTACCGGGCCTTGGCCATCGTGTCCTTTATTGAATCTTCAGGACCCCCTGTTGGCCTGGCCCTTTCCCTGGCTGCCTGTGCATCTCTTTTGCCAGAATGCTTCCCACACCCGCCTCTTGGGCCAGTGTTACTCTGAGATATCCTGTCGTCTTCCCACAGAGTCCTGCTCATCCTCAGTATCATGTTTTACAAGAAATGAGTTGTTTAGGTTGCTGTTAGGAGCCTCTTGTTAGGTTAGGAAAGTGATACCAAACCTTAGAAAATGGAACCTACATCCAATCATGCCTATGGAGGAACAGTGGTTCATTCTACCCAGGTCTCTTGTTATTTGCTTGTTTCAGGTTTGATAAGAACTTTGAAAGTCAGCATGTAAAAATATTTCAAATTATATTTTCACAGTTTCAGATAATTTGTTCATAGATTTGAGAGGGAAGTGAGTGGGTCTTTTCATTCAGAGTTAAATGGTTAAATAGCAACAGTTATGCAGAGGTCTTACATACTGGGAAGGCCTGCCCTGACTCACAGTTGGGTTCACTTCCTCTAGGTAAATTCCCAGGGTTACTTCAGAAGGCACCTGTGAAAATTATAGACACAAACACATGTAATGCTGAAGAATCCTATGATGGCATGATACAGGACACAATGTTATGTGCTGGCTACATGGAAGGAAATATTGATGCCTGTCAGGTAATTCTGGATGCTATTCATGTTGACCACATAGTATATAAAAAACTGCTATTATTTTAAGAAAGTCATCACTGAGGGAACAGTTCTATGCTTCAGTTAATGTGCTCTTTGACAGTTCTCTGTCAGTGTCTCTCTTGGCTTTGACACTAAAAAATATTCTTCCTTACATATAATATGCATTTATAATTAATAACCACTTATCTTGGGCTAGCTCTGATTTAAGCACCGTCCTAATTTCCTTACGAATAGTACTTTATTCAGCCCTTAACACAATCTTAACACATAAGCACTAATATTATTCTCATTTCTCAAATGAGGCAACCGAGGCAGAGGAATTCAAAGTACCTCACACACGGTCGTACCCTAACAGGTGTCAAATTGTGTACAGTTTTCTGGGACCCAGCATCAGAATCTATCCTCTAACCACGGTTCCAACAAAAATCAGTCTCAGGAAGGCCTAAGTCACTTTCAGCCCATTCACAAGGTCTCCCTACCTTCCTATCCTCTTCCTGTCAGGTGGTTCTAGTTACTTTTCTCAAATATGAGACCCTAACTTTTAAGTATATCTTAGTACATGTTTCCCAAGTCTTTCTTGTAGAACTACAGTGTATAATTTCTTAGATCACACTTTCAAGTTCAACTGCAAACATGAGGCCCAGGGAATGTATTCTGGTCAGTAACAATTGAAATAAGGAATATACAGCAATTTATATTATTTACCTTTCCACTGTCTCTGTGAAGCACCAACCACAACTAAAATATGTGAAAGGAAATTGTTATAATGACCAATGTTCTTTGTTTTATTTAGGGTGACTCTGGAGGACCACTAGTTTATCCCAATTCTCGAAATATTTGGTACCTTGTTGGCCTCGTGAGCTGGGGAGATGAATGTGGCAAAATCAATAAGCCAGGTGTCTACACAAGAGTGACAGCCTACCGCAACTGGATTGCCTCTAAGACTGGTGTCTAAAGGGACATGCAGCTTGTAAAACTAACACAGGCCATTGTTGCTGTGACTTCTAGGTCTCACTTAATATGTTCTTCTAATTAGTGGGTGCACTGGCTATTTGAAGAATTATGGACCTGAGGATATGTTTGTGAACTTATATTTTGAGCAGACTTCAAAAGACAAAATAAGAAATTTTACCATTTTGGGTCCAGAAAGGCTTAAGTCAAGAAAATACTCCCACCAAAAATAATATTTATAGTACCATACTGTATGTAACACTATTTCATTAACTCATGTTATGGTTATCTCACCACAGGACAAAGCTCATGAGGTTTGTTCTTACAACTCTGTAGAGTTGTGAAGGTGTATTTTTGCCCATGGAAAATTAGCATACAGTGCAATGAGAGACTGGAATTATGACGGTTGTGTTGGAGCATGTGGTGTCTGCTTTCATGTCATAGCTATATGACTGTGATATAAACCTAGTCTAGAGGTAGGCATTGAATTTGCACCTCTTATTTGTACTACTACCTTCATCAGTTGCAAACATTGTGAAACACTTTCACAACAAGACTAAACAAAAAATACACTGCAGACTCACAGGGGACCAAGTACAACAACCCTTCAGAATTGGTGCAGGATTTGGTGGAAATTCCCTACTGGTAATATATTTTGAAGAATGACTATAGACAGTGAAAATGTGCAGCATAGTTTAATTAAAACAAGTTAATAGGCAGACCATCTTTATTCAATAACAGTTTTCTTGTTCTTTTTTATTTTTATTTGTTTCATAAGAATGTGCAAATTGCTGTTTTTCTTTGTCTTCAATAACAATAACAGTTTTCTTGTTCAATAACAGTTTTCTTGTTCTTTTTTATTTTTCAATAAAATTCAATAACAGTTTTCAATGTTCTTTTTTATTTTTATTTGTTTCATAAGAATGTGCAAATTGCTGTTTTTCTTTGTCTTCTTCTGTTTCATTGGATAGGTAGAGGAGTGTGTGTGTGTGTGTGTGTGTGTGTGTGTGTGTGTGTGTGTATGTTTTTAGTCAGTTTGAAGATGAGACTCCTGCAGCCCAGGTGGGCCACTCCCTCCCGTGGAGTTGAGTTGGGGGCTCTTGTCTTCTGGTTGGGTCTTAGCTCCCTGGTAAGGAAGTAGCTCTTCAGGGTGCCACAGAGGCCCGAGTCAGCAGGCTCAGAGCCTACCCCTCCCCCTGGCTCATCCTCTGATGGCAAAGAGGCATCAGAGAGACTCAGGACAGGGAGGGCAGGTGTGGGCTGTCCCCATAGCTGACTGTGCCTGGGTCTGCAGATGAAGTTTTGTAGGGCAGAAATATTGATTATTGGCCATGTTCTTGATTCTACAGTCTTTGGAAGCACAGGTTCTTGTTTTGTGAGCACAGCCTCCAGGAATTCAGTGACTTCAGCCTGCAGTACTCTTAGAGAGTAAAAGTAGTTATCTATAGCTACTAAAAACTTACATGAAGAGACTTTGCAAGTCCTTATATTGTCTTTAAATTTTATTTAAGCTTCAATGACCTAGAATGGATGTGTTAAGAGGTAATGTTTTACTAGATTTTTTTCCTTCTAGGAAACATGAGTTTTACATTGTCTACTGGTAACAACTTTCCATTCATCAAAAATTCAGAATGTACCTACATCATATATATAATGGAGTTGTCCTAAAATTTCATAAATTCAGTTTTAAATGGCATTTTTAGTTGTTTTATATTCCATATTATCCCAGTTTCTTAAATTGCTCAAAGACAAAGACTCTTAAAGAAGACTTGACATATTTCATTTCCATTATTAATTTTCTTACTATTTAATTCACTTGGTCATAATAAACATCACACTGTATTCATTATTTTCATAATAGATGAAACAGTATTTAACATTCTCTGAGTTTAACATTCATTGTGTCAGGAACAGCTCTAACCACTGTAGTTTTAAATTTTAAAAAATTTATTTATTTATTTATTTTGGTACCTGGAATTGAACTCAGGACCTCACATTTGCCAGGCAGGCACCATGCCACTGAGCTGTATCCCTGGCCCCTTCACCATTTTACTTGATTACTGTGCTTCCTGCTCTCTGAAGCATGCTGTCATTACCCTAACTTTGTGGAGAAGAAACTGAGGCTTACTGATCTTGCCCAAAGATGAGAAGCACCACTGCCATGGCTGACATTGCTCATCACAGAAGTTCATGATGAGGAAGCAACTTTGACCAGAGACATTGACAGTTCACATTATTATATA